ACCCATTGTTTTGTGTAATTAAAAAAAGATCATAATGATAAGGAAAAGTTAATCAAGATTCTTGATACAAAGACAATATACAATATGTAAAATATACTCTACTGAATTTCTATATAAAAACACCACATATTTGATAATATTAAGACATTTCTGGTAATTAAGTGATGTTATAGTTGAAAAACAAATCTGTCCTACAATGTAACCACACAGTGGGACCAAAGGAGAATAATCTTAGAATAAGAACACGAAGGCACAATGTGCATCTGATCATATAAAATAATATTTATCAAAATGAACTCTAGGAAATGGAAACAGGTTTTTCTCTTTGTTACTGTTTTTGTTTTGTTTTGTTTTTTGTCGGTTGTGGAGCTTGAACTCGGCCTGGGCACTGTCCCTCAGTTCTTCAGCTCAAAGCTAACACTCTAACCCCTTGAGCCACAACGCCACTTCCAGTTTTTCTGGTGGTTAATTGGAGATAAGAGTCTCACAGACTTTTCGTGCCTTAATTTTTTCAAAAAGTAATCCAACATGTTCCTCTCCTTCTGTCATAAATGGCTAGACAAACTTGCCATGAAAATGTAAGTAGTATTCAACAAACATCCTCATTGCCTAACTGGATTTAATTCTCACTAATGAACACCTAAATACTAAGTAAGATCTTATTCATCTAAATATCTAAATGCATACTATCTATATGATATATTTATATGAGAGCTGTATCTAGAACCAAATAAAGAGTTCTCTAGCAGGGCACTGGTGACTCACACCTGTAATCCTAGCTACTCGGGAGGCTGATATCTGATGATCGCAGTTCAAAACCAGATGGAGCAGAAAAAGTTCCTGTGAGACTCTTATCTCCTATCAACCACTCAAAACCTGGATGTGGAGCTATGGCCCAAAGTGGTAGAGCGCTAACCTTGAGCATCCAGGCCCTGAGTTCAAGCCCCATAACCAACCAAAAGAGAGAGACAGAGACAGAGACAGAGACAAAGAGAGACAGAGAGAGAATTCTCCAATCTCAATAGAAAAAAACTAAAACATATAAATTTTATCTTTGTTCTGATATTGGCCTTGACAAGATTCTTATAATAGGAATACAACTGAAGATGTGCTTTTCTTTTTATCATAAGATTATTCCCAAAATCACAAAGTCCAATTTGACTTTGGTATACATACACATATACATATACATATATATGTATGTGTATATATGTTAATTTAAAAACTATTTCTTTCAATAATCCTGAACTAAGCAAATACTTCAGTTAGTACAAAGTACTGATTTACTTTTTATAAAGTCCTGATTATCTATTTAATACAAATTCTCACATATGCCAAGAACACTAAACACATTTCTTTTAAACTGAGAACTAGTTCCAATGCAGTCTTAACAAGAGAATTACTTCCATTATTCTTCAATCTCACTGTTTTCAAATCTAAGAACAAAATTTATACCTTGAATGACATTTAAAAGAAAAGCCAAAGGAGCTTTTTTTCCACCATATCACCACATTTTCTATTTCATTAAAGCATTCTTTATGCTTTATAACTTTCACACAAATTAGTGAATTAAGAAACAGAAGCAGGATATATAACCAATAATTCTTGATCATAACATCTATAACAAGGAATTTTCATTTGTAGTATATGCACAAGCATTCATATGAATGTGCTACTAAGCCACATAAATTTTTTAAAGTAATAGCTTTACTGGATAAAAGTATGAAAAGATGAATATGGAACCCATGCTATCACTATGGCAGACCCCTCTGAATAGAAATCACCAGCCATGCCCAAACAATTAGTACTATTTTAGGATTCAGTCATTCAAACCAACTAGGTTTGTATTCTAATAGATCAAGTCTATCCTTCTAATTGAACAGACAGGAAAATGAGACCCAGAGATTCCTAAGTGGTTTGTCATGATCATATTACACCTCAATTTAAACCTAACACTGGTTTTCTTTTTAGCTAGTTTGGCTGTACCTAAGGCTAAATGCCAGCATATTCTTTGAACTTAAAGCCTTTCTACAAAGTTGTTTTGCTCAGAATTACACTTTTTTTCTTCCTTCTTTTTTAATAAAGTATGCACAATTACATGCTGTGTTTTAAAGAAGTCATCTCATGGAAGTTATCTTAGAAACAGTAGTTATTACTCAAAAAAGAATTGGAAGTCTTCAAAATTGTCTTCAGACAGACATTTATAACCATAGAAGGAATTAAGCTTTTTTCTTTCGAGAGTACGGATCCGGGAAGGGCCCTCCCCGTCGAGGACACCAGTGTGCACTCTGCGTTACATTTTCAACCCCTCCCAGACTCCGAGCCTCAATAAAGTGGCTTGACCCCCGCCCCCCAAAAAAAAGAAGGAATTAAAATTAAGTGAAAGCCAACTATAAACCAGACACTGAACGTCTTTAATTTCACACACCAATCCTTCAGGCACGAGGAAACCAAGGTCACACAGGTTTAAGATGCACATCCCCTGATACACTGTTGGCTCTTTTCCTTGTCTCCTTGTCTAACTATTTTTCAGCTTGAGAATCATCCATTTTTTTCCTTTTAATCTTGTGTCTAAATAAATACTAGTCACTTCCTACCCAAAAGATGACTGGTCTGCAGTCACTGAAGATAAATGCAAAAGTTCCCCCAAGATATTGTGAGCATTGATAGCAATGTTTTCGGAACAAGAGTTCTCAAAAGTAATTATGTGGATTTACTCATATCTCAAAATGGATTTTGAAGATTAGAGGTGAAATCCTTTCCCCAAAAAAGCTTACACATAGATTTGGAAACTACTCTATGGAAAGAGCTGAAGAAACTGACACATGGAAAAATGTTCTCTATGCAACATTAGCTTGAGAAATCCACTGAGAGTTGTTGTTGCTGTTGTTGTTGTTGTTTCAAGTCACCCCTATTAGAAGAGCATTTCAGTAGCATCACTACAGACCTGGAAAGATTCTACAATCCAAGCATTGTCTTCTCACTTAATACTTAAGAGTAGCAGAAAAATAGCAGAATAGAGACACATTCACAAGGATCATGGTCTAAGCCTAAAGCCATAAGGGAACTACATCATACCAACTACTCAAAGGACATATAACCAACTCTACTTTTATCAACCAAGAGGTTCTTCATTTTCAAACAGTGATTACATAAACAGCAACAAGCCCCTACTTTTTTATATGACCAAGTTCAAAATCAATCTCAATTGTAATAATAACTATTTGCAAGAACATTAGACATCTTTGTGTTCACAGGAGCTCTAAAGGACACATAGCTCTTGGGCATGCAAGTACCACAAAAGAGACTATAACATAGAAACTAGCATATCTCATGGACAACATTAACTACTTGGGTGGATGGGAAAAGGGAGAATAAACAGATGATGAAATGGATAGATATATCACTGAGATACTGAACAGATTTTTAAAGCTTTAGTTACTTTAGAAGTATTTACAAGCCAGGCACCAGTGGCTCGTGCCTATAATCCTAGCTAGTCAGGAGGATGAGATCTGAAGATCACAGTTCAAAACCAGCCCAGGCAGGCAAGTCCATAAGACGCTTATCTCCAATAAACCATCAGAAGTTGTGCTGTGGTTCAAGCGGTAGAGCACTAGCCTTGAGTGAAGAGCTCAGGGACAGCCCCCAAACCCAGAGTTCAAGCCCCACGATGGACAAAAATAAATAAATAAAGCTTGCACTTCTTAGAGAAAGAAAAACAAAGTAGAAAAACAAAACAGAAAAATTCAATGGTAAGTCTCTCTACAATGATAAATAATACTGCTGGTACAATGAGATAAAATTATACTATAATGTACTTGCCCTCCAGATGTGCTCTGAACATTGACTGTACTACTTGTGATTTATATTACTAATTTATCCATCAGAACTTTAAACCACTTGAAATATAACTATATACTAATGCTGGGAAAACATTAAGCAATAATGGATTGTCTCAAGGAGAATGTGTCTATGAGAAAAACACAAAAATTACAGTCCCACATTGAACAAATATGGACACAGAAACTGGTAATAAATGACAAAGAATTAGCCAACTATTCACTGTTCTTTGTCTTTACATGTGGCCTAGACTAGGATTAAGCGTCTTGTCAGAAAGGAAGATAAAGGAACCTACTCTCCACAAATGGAGTAGAGGAACAATACAGACCTGTGAGATTGGGGTCTCTAAGTTCCCCACTTATCCTGGGGAAAAATATAGTGACAGGGGCTGGCTCCCAGGACTAATCCTTTAAAAAGTGTCTTCCAATACAATCTACCATTCAAGCATATGAGAAATCCTAGATCTACGAGCTCAAACCTTAAAAAGCACCCACTGCTGAGGCAAAGGGAGAAGAGAACAAGAGAGGAATATCACACTTCTGATTTGACTACTGTTCCCTAATAAACTGAATCTGAAGAGCCGAGGTTTAAGGACTTAATCTGTGCTACTCCCACACAGATTAGACAATCATTGCTAATATAATAAGAAGTTTTTAAGTAACACATTAGGAGTAATGGTTTCATTAACACAGGCCTACAGTAAAATCCAACCTCTCTCATACCCAGTGACCTGGCCACACACTGGCCTATTAAAAAGTACCATCATACCACAGTTATCTGGCATTAGCTATGTGCAGATTCAACACTGGGCATGCTGTTGTAACACCAGTGAAATCAAGTTAGGTATTAGAAGTGCAAAGGACAATACTATCCTGACATCATAGACTACCTGCTAATCTATACACCCAATGATTTATGGTCTTTGTGTAATTATAGAGGAGACTTTAACTCAGAACACTTTTAACCATACATTACTATCTACAAGTCTTTAACTTTGTGTCCTAACTGGCATCCTTGCATTCCCTGCTCTTTCAAATTTTCCTTTTCCTCTCCCCTTCCCACATTCTCTCGCTTTTTTTTTTTTTTTGCTGGTACAAGCTTAAACTCAGGAGCCTTTAAATCACATAGCTTGAGCAGTATATCACCAGATTGGCTTTTAGTTGCTGGTTAATTGAAAATGGAGTCTCTCCAACTTTTCTGCTCTAGCTGGCTTCATACCACAATTCTTCAGGTCTTAGTGTCCTGAGTAGCTAGGATTACAGAACAAAAGATCATGAGGGTCACGCCTCCAGGTCAACTTAGATGAAAGAGTTCACAAGACACCCATCTCAAAAAAAAAAAAAGGCTATCAATACTGGCAAGTGCCTGTCATCTCAGCTATGGTGCAAAGGATAAAGAAGAGGATTGAGAGTCCAGGTCAGCCTGGAAAAATATGAGGTCCTAATCTCAAAACTAACCAAAGCAAAAACAGGGCTGGAGGTATGGCTCAAGCAGTAAGTGCCTGCTATGCAAGAGAAGAGCTCTCAATTCAAATCTCTGTACCATCAAAAAACAAACGCTACAATGGTCCAAGACCAAAAACTCTTGGTTTCAGGGCCCTACTGCTTTGTTCAAAAGCCAGGTGCCAATGGCTCACACATATAATCCTGCTGCTCAGGAGGCTGAGGTCAAAGGCAGCTCCCGCAGACAAATTTGAGAAACTCTGATTTCCAATTAACTGGAAGGGGAAAAAAAAAAAAAAGAAGCCCAGGGGCTGAGAAGGTGGCTCAGTGGTAGAGCGCTTGTCTTGCATGCCTGAGGCCCTGGGTTCAATTCCTCAGCACCACATAAGCAAAAAAAAAAAAAGCTGGAAATGGCGCTGTGGTTCAAGTGGTAGAGCGCTAGCCTTGAGCTGAAGAGCTGAGGGACAGCGCCCAGGCCCAGAGTTCAGGCCCTACAATCGGACCCAAAAAAAAAAAAAAAAAAAAAAGCCCAAAGAGGAGGTATGGCTCCAGTGGTAAAGCATCAGCATTTGGGGGGCTGGGAGAGAACATGAGGGTGAGGCCAGGTTTAAGCCCCAGTACTGCTACTTGCAGGTACTTTCTGCATAATGAGATTGAAAAACAATAAAAGCCCAACAGCTACACTATTTAATTTCCTAATTAATGAAAGGGGAACCTGTGGAAAGATTAATAACCAATACAGGGCTAATAACCAATTCCAACAGCAATGCCACTTCTTGCTGGTCTAAGCAGAAAGAACAAACAATCAAATCTAAATCTTTGGCATTAATAATGACTGGAAGTCTAACCAGCCATTCATCTAGACCTTTAATTCAAAAGACATCTTCTATCTCAGTCTTCCCTTACAAGGTATATCTTTCATGAGACACTAGTAAACAGTAGGAAATCTAATAATGGATCTTTTCAGAATGTGTATGACAGAACAAAAATGTATGATCTAGAATTATATAGCTTTAAAAAAAAATACTTTCCACAATTAAATATAACCTCATCTGTAAAGCATAAAACACTCCTGAAACAAAATACTTAACACAACTACTTTAGACAACTGTATCTCAAAGAATCATAATGCAGATTGCATTTCCCACTGTTACTAGCATTTATTAACTGCACAAATTAAATCTAGACTTTTCTCCTTTTCTTTAATTTTTAATTCAGAGGGAGTGTCCTCCAGAATGGAATTATGGTTTGATCTTCACATTCCAAAAGGCTTAGTCTAGTCAACTCTATAGTAGCTCGAGTGGCTCACTGAACAACTTGGAAAGTTTTTCTACTGTCTGACATTTGGAAATTAAGAAAAGATATGGATATTTTTCTTTTGCAATTCTAGAAGGAAGTTTTATTTTTTTTTAATTTAAAAATAAAAAAATTGTAAAACCTGCTGCAGCACTCCTGTTGACACAAAGGATGATGCTGAGGAGAAAAGCCGAGCCAAGCGCACACAGCCTTTTCAGGTCACTTATGAAGCTGTGAGCGCAGTTCTGACATATGAAGCTAAAGTGACACCGGAGTGTGTGTTTTGGTGGTGCTACATTTTTTTAAATTAAGTCCTTAAATAGCTGTTGGTCCATTCACATTTAATACCAAAAAACAACTCATATCTCACCACCTCTAAAAGCTTGTGAGCCTTTTAAAGCCAAATATACAAAAGATTTTGCTTTTCCTCTTTAAACAGCCAGGCATAAGTACTAATGGCTTGTCCCCAAGCAAAGCCTCCTTATTGCACAGTTCTTCCAAAATCCCAAACTAGCACATTAAGGCAATCTGACAAAAATATAGTATTTACTTCAAAAGACTTAAATACCAAATATATTTGTTTGTAAGTATGATTTAAAAGCTCATATCCAAACTCACATTCTGAAGGATAACAGGCAAGATTATATTTTACAATATTTACATATTGAGAAAAATTATGCTCACTCATCCCAATTACTTAAATAGTCTTTTTAAATATTTACTTAACTACAGGCAAAACAGTTTCAGATAAATATATTTAAGTCAATCACAGACTTAGTTAAGACTTCTATCCCCTAGAACCATGAGGCAATAAAGCCTGTCCCTTAAACCATCCAGTTTTTAATACTTTGTTGTTACAGTCCTAACATAAATACAAACAGCCTTTACATTTTCAGGTGGCTGGTAGGAGGAAGGTACTATTTTGAAGGTGCATTAAAAGTAGATGAAATTCAAGTCTGAATTCAGACAAAAATTTCCTGGTATACAGTAACATGCATTCCTTTATATATTGTCTATGACTAATGCTTTCATGTTATAAAGACAGAGAAGCCCCTACTGAGACCATGTAGGCCCATAGCCTATAAAAATTATATTATCTAGCCCTTTACCAAAAGTTTTCCAAGCCAGGAGCAGATGGCTTACATCTTTAATCCTAGCTACTAAAGAGGCTAAGATCTGGGAATCACAGTTTTAAGCCAGCCATCGCTTGAAAGTCCATGAAATTACATCCAACTAATCACTAAAAAGCCAGGAGAGCTGTGGCTCAAGTGTAACTTTGAGCACAAAAGCTCAGGGATACCCACTTGGGCTCTGAGTTCAAGCCCTAAGACTGGCATGACAGACAATTTGAAAAAAAAATTTGTGTTATTAGGTACCATATTTCATAAAATTTCAGAGAGTCACTCCCAAGATCAGTCTGTATCATGGCAGAAACCTAAGGAAAAAACTTAAAGAGAGGAAAGATTTATTTTACTTGTGATTTCCATGGTTGCTTAGCCCTATTACTTGGGGCACAACATCACGGCAGCAAGGGCTGGAGTATCAGACTGTCTACCTTCATAGTAGACAGGAAGGGACAGGTTGGGGAGGGGCAGTAACCTACTTCCTCCAGCTAGGTCCTACCTCCTGAAGTTTCCAGGACCCCCCCAGAATACTACCACCAGCTTGGGACAGAGAAGTTCAACAAATGAGCCTGTGGGAGCTCAACTCCCTAACATCTGTCTTTCAGTTGTGTTTCAGTATTCACCTTTCTTCTAAGAAGAGGTCAAGTGCACCTACATTTCCAAGACCTACTTTCCAAGACTACTGAATGCAGATCAACTGAAATGTTAAGTGCCTCATTAAACATACAACAATTACATAATTGTCCCTCCCCCACCCAACAACACATCAAGTAAATTGGAGTAACTATCTTTAAGAACAATAAACAATGTATCTATCCCTGCATCATGAACCTGATATATCTACTAATACTACCATATAACTAAAAAAAAAAAAAAAACTATAGAAAATGCCTCATATGATTGCCAATGACAGAACTGTGCACACGATCACAAAAATTATTCCACTGAAACTCAGCAAGTTGTAGCAAGCAAACAACAGCTTATGTATGAATTAAATGTCAATTTATTGACTATCAAAATGTCAATTTATTGACCAACCACTGGAAGCAAGTACGTTTCATTCCGATTTTCAAAAAACTAAAAATTCTATTGTTTATTAATTTCAAAAAATTTACTATAACTCTGGCCAACTGTTTGTCAGTATCTCTTACAATTGTAGAAATGCATACACATACCAAAAGATATGTAAAAGATTAAGTGCTTTTGTGAGTCCACTCCAAACTGGAAATGATCCAAATGCTCTTCAACAGTGGAAGGAATAAATTATTTGTAACAAATTCATACAGTGAAATATTTTCAGCAATGACAACGAAATACTCCTGCATACAACTTAGAAGCCAGACAAAAAGCAAAGCATAAGAATTTATATAAATTTCCACAATAAGTAAATTAGTCTAGGGAACTGAAAGGTAGCCAAGTGGCTATTTTCAAGATGTAGGTGGGAGCAGTGATAGGTACAGAACATTCTTCTTCCATCCGTCCGAATTTTCAACTTGTAACAGACGACTAAGCAGCCAACTTGTGATTGACATACTTTCTACGTGTATGCATGTATGTGTATGATATATTACACTTCAATAAAAAGGTTAACACAGGCTCCACTTCTAAGACAACCATCTTAATATGTTCCAATTGGCCCAACTGCCCTATAGCTAATAACTACAAACACCTGATAGAACATAAAAAAACTATTTGAAAGCACTGGATAGTGGCCCAAAATAGGCAAAAACTGTAGGTGAAATTGGCAATGGAAAAGGAAACAGCTGAAAAAGTTTCCCATATTTTTTATGGCTTTCTAAGTGAAGACAGGCATAAGCCATGAAGGTGATAGAATTTGGGTAAAAACTAGTCTTAATGACATTAAGTAACACCATGAGGTAGAAATTGATGGGGAAAACATACGGAAAGCAGAGAGCCACAAAGGGAGACACCCAAAGTCTGCAAGTAAAAAACTAGCCAAAAAAAAAAAACTGGCCAAAATAACTAGCTGACTCCTGAAATACACACGCAGAAGACAGCAGGTAGTGCAGGTAAAACAATGGTAATCATGGCTGAGGGTATACTCCAATGGTAAATGGCATGCTAACCATGTGTGAAGTCTGAGTTCAATCTCCAGCATCATATCCAAAAAGAACATCAACAAAAAAAGGGCTATAATTATGTTTGTACAACTCTGAATATACAATCATGTGTCACCTATGGTCAGGATATAACTGATAAATGCATTGTGAAGACCACACTTTCATCATTATATAACCATTACAGAGAACATTTACACAAACTAAAATGGCTACAGGATGATATACAGGACTTATAAGCAGTCCATCCAAAATCATCATATGAAGCTAAAAACCAATACTAAAAAAGTGTA